ATCTCCCCTGTAGCCCTGGGCTTGCAGCAACCCAGCGAAGTTGCTCTCTGCTATTAAACCGTGGCTGTGGACCACTGAATGCTGGTACTAAAGCAGAGCGAAAACCATAATCAACTCTTGCAAAGCGCTTTGAAATCTTTTTTCTGCACAGGGATGGAGACACTTTAAGGGGACAGAAATCAGCTCCTTTGCAAGCCATGTCAAATGTTTTTAGCAACCTCCAGTACAAAAGGAAAGGCAGTGAGCTATGCTTATGAATCGTTGCCATCCAGCACCGTGCCTCAGGCTCCCAAGGAAACTGGTTTAACTTATTTTATATGAAAAGAGCTAGACAAACACAAACACACACACATATATATAAAGAGCACACACACACACATATAATCTAGGAGGCAAAGAGAGACTCTGTATCTGCATTTGCAATATCTTCCTGCACCAGGTAAGGAAAGCATCTTTTTTCCTTTTAACCGGGTGCTGTACGTACATTGTTTCCTTGCAGTCTATCTTTAGGTTATGGCAGTTCACAAGGTTTTTTCAGCAGATGTGTTATTCAATTACTTCAGGGCTTTTCCATTTGTAATATTATGAAGTAATGATAGCCAGCAGACTTCACCTGTCTTTTAGAGATAGCCAGCCTGGTAATTTTAACTCTGCCCATTTTATCCACACCAGTAAATCTCATAACATGGTTATAGAGAGATTCCAATTTTTGTAGAACCTTCTCCTGGGAATTCCTGTATACAATATTGCCATAGTCTGTAATGGACATAACCTGTGATTGGATTAATGTTTCCCTAGTGAAGAAGTCAAAGCATTTCATGTTCCTATAACTGGTTTGCAGGTCTGCGGTAAAGGTCTTTGGTGTGGCAGAGAAAATAATTGCAAACGCAGCCCCAATCAGAATATATAATCCCCTCACAGCGAGGGTCCAATTCAGCACTGTTAGACTCCCTGCGCAGGGGTTTGTAGCAGGATTTTCTTGTCAGGAGAGCAGAATGCACAGAAAACAAGTTAATTTTGTCATCTTAATATTCATCACCCAGTCCTGTAGAAAGGGAGGTAAATGCATTGCTACTGCTCCAAGGGAAGGCCCTCCAGCTCCCCGGGCAGCGAGTGGAAACAGGCAGGGCAATGCAACGGGGCACTGGTCTCCCCGCAAGAAGAGCCCTCCACTTGCGCTCAGATAAACACGCACCTTTGTTCTTAAGAGTAAATGCAGTTCTATCAAATTAGACGCCCAGTTTGGGACCCATATTGGCTTCTGAACCTTTCAAAATCCGTGGTGTTACCTTCCCTCGGACCTGACACAAGCGACTAGTAAAGAATTACTTGCTGAATGTACAACGTGCATTACTTACATCTGAGACACAGATCATCTTCTCCAGGAAGAGGAGGCTCACGGCAGGCCAGAAGTAGGCTCTGAATCAGGATCTGTCTATTCAGGTGGAAGAAAAGAACTTCAGTGCTCATGTGGGAGGAAAGTGAACTAGAGACTGGGAGCAAAAGGTGTCCTATTTTCAGCTCCCATGATAGTCTCCCCAAGCATTTGGGACTCGGTGTGTGCACATCAGGCACACTCTGCCACACCGAAGTGTAAGTTCTCATCACACAAGCCGGAAAAGAGCCTGCAGTGGAAGACTCAGGCTCCCATCCCCAGCTGGTCAGGGAGAGCTTTCAAGAAACACTGTTTATTGGTGAACCCTGAAAGCAGAGGTGGGTCTCTGAAGAAAGCACTATGGAGTCAACTCTGCCTGTAGGGTTCAGAGGAGATGTAATTGGGATCTCAGGGTGGAAAAAATGGGTAGGGGCAGCTGCGGCTGTGAGTGGACCAGAAGGTGCCGGAGACAAAGCGAGACAGGAGTGAAATGGGAGGCAAGAGCAAAGAGTTTGAGCATGACGTGCTGGAACAAGGATGGGGAGGATGGGCGCCAGAACAGGCATACTGCCTGACTGAGGAGCAAGTCAGATGCTCTTGGCAAATTGCCTTATGTTTGGATGTTATGGTGTTGCTAGGCAGGTGGAGAGGATGGGAAGAAGGTTACCAGCATGGGAGTTGACAAATGGGATGTCATCATTTCCCATATGGGTAACTGTCTCCAATCTGTCCTTTCTATCCAACTGAAAGCTTGGGATGTCTCAGCAGAAAGGAAGCATCTCTGGCAGAGATGAACATTCTACATTAGGTCTATATACGAAGACCCAGAAGTTGCAGGCTGTGGGGCAGATATGGGTGACAGGAGACAAGTAAGAAGCAGAGATAGGGATTTCCAGGAAGATCCAGTTTTTAAATCTGAACTAAAAGACCAACTTTTACAAGTCAGATAGCAGGAACCTCTGACAACCGATAGCAGGGCAGCACAAGGGCTTCCCAGAACCCGCTTGTCCATGTCTTGGTTTTGAAGTGACTCTGGGGGCCTGAGGAGAAAGAAATGAAAATGAAACAACACACTTATTCCACAGTTGCTTTTATCACTTTATTCATATTTCTAGAGTAGACTCTATAGCAGCTAAGCAAATACCTGAAACTCTCTCATATATATATATATATGCATATATAGAATCATTCAAAAAGAAATAATGAGGAATTCTGCAAGTGTTTTTCCAATGAATACGCAGAAGGAACATTATCACCCCAGTAAACCAACTTTGAAAGTCTTCCACTAAAACCCTATAAAACCCAACGATAGTCATAAATTTGCACTAGATTAATTCAAAGGAGAACTTATCCCTCCTCTGCGTACCTTCTAATCCATATCTCCAAGAGGTCATTTTAATTATCACACTGTCACTGCTATTCATTACTCTGCTTTTGGAGACAGAGAGCCAACACTGTGCCTTTTGGATGCCTTGGAATTCATCATATGAAGGCATTTTATTCTCCCTAAAAACGTGCACAGTTTAACCCCCCTCACCTTGAAGCACTGACAATATCAGGTTTCCTTGGTGTTTTAAATCATTTTCCTTCCAGTGGGATTTCTCTTTCTTGTTTTCAACCAAGTTCCCCTTATCAGAGAGAAACTAACTAATGAAAGCCCAGCTAACAGGTTGCTAATGCAGACACAATATGCTCAAGTTTTGTCAGATCCTGAGTAGTTTGCCCTTTTTCAGAGGCATGCAAAGCCAAATTTTTGTCCTGACTTGTACCTGCTCATTCTTTCTGGCCACAGTAATGCTAAGTGTATGGAAACCATGTGCCAGTGGCTCCCAGGAGGTCTGTTATGATAGGGCTCCAGAGGTGCGTGTGAGGTCCTTGGACACAGAGCGCAACTTCAGCCTTGACCCTGCTTGCTTGTGTTTACTTGTATGGAAAGGAGCTCAAGGACCTTACACAGAACTCCTTTCTCTCCATTGAGATACAGATATGGGGAACTGTATTCAAAGACAGATGAGCACACATAAGGGCCTTCTAGCTTCCTGGCTGCATAAATGCAACCCAAGCTGCTTTCACTTCTTCCTAGGATCACACCTTGGTTCAGTGTTGGTCACGCTAGGGCCTTGCAGCCAGGTCTCCATTGCTGAAGAATCAGGTAGTATTTTCACAAGGGACAGTAAATTCATGTTACCCAGAAGGTCTATTTTAGGCTATAATTTTCAGGTTTTCTCATACCTTTTCATTTACCCCCAGGATGTGGTGTTCTCACCTGCAGGCCAGTGCAAGGACCAAACTGAGTCTGACTCTGTTCCTAGATCATGGTACTCAAGTCCTGGGGAAGAGGAGAGGAGCAACCAACACAGTTCTTTTACTAGAGAACAACTTCTTCAGGGCCATGTCACACCAAGAGGAGCTCATTCAGTCTTGTTTCACATGTCTTTGTTCACCCTCAGTCTGGTTCATCCTTTCCCTCTCTATCCACTGGGTCTTGACACCTTCTGTCCTCCAAGCCACCACTGCAGCCCAACTCCTAGCAGAAGACAGTAAAGAAAAGCTACTTCTCGAATCTTCTGATGGGTTGGCAGGAGACACTTCTAAGTGTCCCTTTCCATCCCGTGGGAGACCCTCAGACTTCCCTCAGGGTCACCTCTCCAGTTTGAGAACCACTGGCCTCACACTTCAAATCCACATCACTGGCAGATGTTTCAGTTAGTCACACAAGACAGGAGACAAGACTGCCTAGTGACGCTGGCTTTGAGCAGAGATTTCACATGCTCTCCATGTAATGGGAAGATAGTGAAGTTTTACCTGGGATTTCTTACAGCAGTGTCACAACACTGTGTGTTCATCCCTTTCAGCACTACTCCTAGTTCACACAGCCTCACTGTACATCTGTTGGGAAGTCCAGTCTTTCTAGACCCCAACCAGTTTGTACTGGAGGACCATGGTTCCTGCCTCTTAGACAGGTCTTGCTATGAGTTTCATGCCTGCAGCCTGACAGTAGCATTTCTCATAAGACCCCTTTCCTCAAATGATCTGATAGAAGAGCAAAAAACCTAACCATGCAGCGGATGATAAACGGCACACTGAGGAGCGCCTGCCTGACTCCCAGAAGCTATTTATCAGGCTCTCTTAATGCAAGCTAACAGGGCTAGCACATGCAATTGGCATAAGAGCTTCTGAGCCTGACACTAAAAGGGGAGACATCACATGGTGCAGCAGGGGAGCCAGGACTCCCTCATTAGCTCATGGTATGGATTACCCCTTTAAAGAGAGACAGCGAGGCTGGTAGAAGGAGGGGAGGCTTTCTCATTTTAACAAATAGCTTTTCATCCACTGCAAATGATTTCTGTAAATCTATTGGGTCACTCTTTTTTTCCCAGAGATGAGACAAAAAAAAAAAAACAAAAGAAGAAAAAAAAAAGCCCTGAAATTGATTTACCATCTATAAATAAAAAAAGAATCAATAGTAAAATTTCTAGCTAATTTCCCTCTCCCTCTTTCCTCCTCGGACTATTTATTATCTTAGAAATACTTGTCTGGGAAAAAAAAGAGAAACATCTTCAGTTCCAGACCCAGACACGCTCCTCCGCCTCGCCCCGCAAACCAGCCCTCTTCTCCTCTCCTCTCATCGCGTGGAGAGAGACTGGTCCTTCAGATGCGCCTGGCTCCTCTTCTCTGGCTTGCCGCCAGCATGGCTGTTCCCTTGGCCCCGCTGGGTAGTGCATTTAAAAAGCGGCAGTTTTTCTTTCCTGCCAAAGGAAGAGAGAGAGAGAGCAGGTATTGTAAAGTGCTGCGGTGTTTCAGCAGCAGGTAAGCTGCGTGTGGGATGAGCTCCGAGGAGAAGCCATGTGTAAAGTCTCACTGTGAAGTGCATCTGCAAGGAAGGCTTTGGCAGCTCGAGACAAATTAGAGGTGGTTAAAGACCAGCTGGTCCCATCCTCCTCTGGCCAGAGCAGGGTTAGTCCTTCCAGGAGACTTCAAGGGCTTTGCACTAGGCTCTGAGCTCTCCAGAAGAGCCCCACTGCTTCTCTTTGGGCTAATGCACTTACCACTGTTTTCTGCTCACTGCAGCCCCCACACACCTGGAACTTTTCACTTCATTTCTGCTCATTAACAGAATATTTCCTTCTGGGGCATATACCATTCACAGGACAGCTGGGTTTGTGGGGCTGCTTACCAATGGGTCACCCCACTGCCAGGGGTGTTCACAGCTGGGGCCAAACTCTTTAGTGGCAGACTCCCACTGCGTGGCCTGGGAGCACCCATCGCCCGACACGCGATGCCAGCGCTTCCAGCATCCAGACCAGCACCTTCAAGGAGCCTGATGTGATACTGCTATTTCACCATGCCTATTAACACCAGTTACCTAACAGTCATGCAAGGCTTTAGATGTCACTATAGTTTGGAGTGTGGCATTTTCATCACAGCTTTTGGGCTACAGTCCTCACAGAGCACTGGGAGTTTAACTACTGACCTCCAAAGGAGCAGAGTTATACACTAAATGCAAAGTACTTTTGCAGTGATGCCCCAGGAGTTCACAGGCTCGGAACTGAGCTCATCACAGCTCAACACTGCAGAAAGAGCTCCTCGGCTTCCTGCAGCTTGTCTGGGGGAACAGACCTACTTTGTAAGGCTTCGGTTCCTGATAAGTCTCACTACTTCTTTCCCAAACAAGGCACTGCTGGGTGCGTGTTCACAGTGCGCACAATGGATGTTTGCTACTTTAAGGAAAAGTAAATCTCTATCCTTTATTAATCAGTTAATTCTCTAACATTGCTGTTTTATTTACTTATAGAGCCTCTTTGCTTAAAGGCCTTCATTAAAATCCCCCAGGAGACTGGCCCAGCACCCAGCCATCCCAGAGTGGGGAGCTTTGCCTCACAGCCCCCTACCAGCGCTAGTGGGTCACACTGGAACTGCAAAGGTGCCTCTGAGCCCAGGCTCAGAGCTGACCAGGAACCAGAGAAACTGGCTTTGGGCTGCCTGGTGGCAGCCAAGGCAACCCTACAACCCTGCCTGTGGACTGCTAGTGGAGAGTGGGGTCCCTCTGCACTCACCCCAAGTGGCACCAGCTCTGAGCAGCCATCATCATCCCCTGCGTGTACCAAGCTCCAACCCTGCGGTGATGTATCTCCCACTTGGCAGAGCATGAATTACCTCCCCTTACCAACCTGGCTGTGCTGTAGCTGTAAAAGCAGATATAACTTCTGATGGCTTCTTCGTAAGCAACATCTGACTATCCATTCCCATGCCCAGGAAGGAAATCAAACCGTGCTGTCAGCCTTGCCCCAGCCAAGGGGCTCCAATATCAGCCCAGTCAGACAGCTCATGCCCCCCCCAGTATCCACCATGCCCTGCTGATTTTGTTCATTCGCCCCCACTGCTATGGCAGGAAGCAAATGGAGAGGGTCCTCTACTTGCACCTGATCTACTTGTTAAGCACTCAGTCTGCTCCCTCTAACGCCTGTTATCTGTATTTGCTACAGCAGCCGGAGACCCAAGCCAAGCTGGTGTTGGCGCTGTACCAGTCCATACCAAGACACGAACGCTGGGAAGGGGAGGACCTGTCTGTTCATGTAGCCATGTCACCGAAAGTGAAGTGACTTCCCAAAGCCCATGCAGGACACTTGGGGAGAACTGAAAGGAAGAGAGCTGAGATGGAAACCCAGGTTTCCTGATCCCTCACCCCTGAGGAAATGGGCCCGTCTAAACTTGCCTGCCATAGCGACACAGAGAAACCTGCCTTCCCCACCACGCAGGTCTGTGTTTGCTGCTGCTTCTCCTTTTATTTGCAGAAGGAGGTTTCAAAATACATTTTAAAAGAATTGAAATAATATAGGGGCCAATGGGGCACAGGGCTTAGAGGGCTCTGCCTCCACCAGGCCTCCTCTCCCTACTGCCGTCACAGCTGCCACCAGTTCAGCATCTCCTGCTCTCCACAGTTGAATCACCAACCTAAGGCACAGTGGTATTTTGAAGAGAAACACTGAGACACAAATAAATAAATTAGGACCCTGGGAGGGAGACCCAAGAGGCACACTGAAGTGAGAACAAGCGATTTCTCTCACTCTGCGTATAATTACATTGACATGTTCCTAGACAACGCTGGAGACCCAAACACAGCAGCAGCTGTGGACCAAATGGAGGATCATACAACACCTAGGAAAGCCAGCCAGTCAATCCATCCCCTGCCCTGGGGCGGCATCAGCATTGCCCGTGTCACTGCTGACAGCCTTTCTGCCCGCTCCCGGGGACATGGCCAGCGCCGGACGGGCAGGCAGGGCTCGGCTCCTGGCCGCGCTCAGCTGGCTGTCCCCGACAGACACCCATTTCTCTGTGCCCACTCGGCCAGTGCACTAGAGCAGCACCACTGAACATCGTTCCCATACTCCTCTCTGCAACTGAAGGAAACGATGTAATATGAAACATGCAAAGAGGATAAAAGTGGATCTTAAACTTCCTTTTTCATGATTTGGGTAACACAGAAAAAGGAAATCCTGGTTAACCAACAGCACTTACAGGTGGGATTTGATTTTTAGACGCCAGCCTTTTTTAGCAGCCATCCAGGCATCCACTGAACCGAAGCATTATGAGTACCAACAACTCGGTTCACATCAAGTACTTGTGACAAAGTGATTTTTTTGGACGTACAGCAAATTGACAGACAGTCATGATCAAATCACAACACTGCTGCACGCTCATCGCACGTACAACAGTTAATCTTGCAGCCATGCAAACTGTTTTGCAAATTGAAATCTCAGAGGCATAGCAATTACAATACCAAATTTATACCACATCTCTCAGTCAACTAATTGTACATCCAAAAAATCACCACTTGAATAATCTGAATACATTCACCTTTACAGCTAAAAAAAAAACCCCACTACATGCTTGATCTCAACACAATTTTGAGTTACAGAACCCCATGGGAAAAAAAATGCCAACCTCTGATTTCAACAGCAAAATTGCTTCTATCTAAATACAGCAAATGCATAATTCACATTGAGGTCTAACATCTCAGTGTTTCCAGCAGTGCTCTTTTTCACATCTGCAAAATGAGGATATTCCTATTGCTTCCTTGCAGCACTCTCAGTCCGTCTGCGGGAAGACAAGCCCTATATACATCTACGCCAGATGTAGCGTACATATTCACATCTAAAACAAATGTATCTGGAGTTCTAATTGTTAGGAAACCTTAAAGGTCTTTAAATGAATTAGCAGGGTCAAAACCCAGGCTAATGTTTTAGATGAGCTGAGCTTTACAAAGCCATTTCCATAAGCATGGTTGTGCCACTGTGGCATTTTGAGCTCTTTCACAGACACATTTCTTGACTTCTGTTTCCATCTGGTAGAGCATGTTGAGGTGGGGAGCAATAGATTTGAATTAGTGACTTTGCAGCTAGCATATTAAAGAAGGCCAAAATAGATGGGAATTATGTGCTTAAATTGCAAAGGGAAGAAAAAATGAAGTTATCAAAGCCACGTGAGCGGGATCAAAAATGAATCATCAAAACTGGAAAATGGCTAACCTCTGATCCCTGAAACCAAGAAATCTGGCTGCTGTCATGTATCTGCTGATCTAATTTTTTTTTCTTTACACTTTCCCCTCCATACAGAGGAGATGCGTTTCCATTGCAACTACACAATCAATGCCTGATTACTTCAAATGCTTCACTCTCAGGGATGCACAATTAACCAGGTCCATATTTGACACTGCAAGGGGAGCGCAGTATTTTCTGGGAACGTCTGACAAGTTTCAAACATAAAAAACACAAATCAAATGGGCCAGCAGATAATGACAGCCAGTGCCCTGGCAGTTAGATAATGTGCATGCTCCAAAGCGAGGCCAATTAGAAGCAATAAAAACAAATTCAAAATGTTAGAGCAAAGATCAGAAATCCTCAACCATTACTGCAGGGTTGAGGGTTTTTTTCCCAAGTGGTCACCAGTGCCCATATCCAGAAAGTGAGCACAAATTCACGCTTGCCAAACGACCACCCACCTCTTACTGCAGATTATGACTTCTAGGCTCTAGAAATCCCACTAATTTGCTGCATGGAGAATCCCAGCACTATCTGGCAATCTTGCCAGGTCCATACCCTGTGGCTCTACCCTCCTGAGTGCAGGGGCTGGTCCATGCTGCTCACAGAGAAGGCATCACGTTGGAGCCAGCTCCCCAGGGCAGTTTGCAGATATCTCTCCCTCTGCCACAGAAGGGATCCTGCTACTTGTGGTCCATCCCCTCGGTTCCTGCCCTCCTTCCCCAGCTCACTGCAGCAAGGCACACCTGCTTCACCAAGGAGACAGTGCACGGAGGCAGGAATAATTAGCTTGCAACTGGAACCACATTAGCACACAAAAGAAAGAGAAGTAGTCACAATTACAAGCAAAGCACGTGGCTCGGACCCCAGTTATCATTGTGTATCTTTACTGACGCTGGAGCAGGAAGCTGCGGAGAGGATGGGAATAGGTTTTGTCTTGTCACCCATCCTCCTATTTCCAGCAGGAGAATAATGGGTTGCAGTTACCTGATGAGGTGCTAGCAGAAAATGACTGTCTCTTGAACTTGTTCAAGTTAGCAATTGGGATTAACGTGCTATGTACATCAGACATTACCCATGTCAACCACCCTACACACAGCAGCTGTCTCTGCTCTCAGAGCAGAGTGCTCTGTCCTGCTCTTTAGAAATACAGGGAGAGTCCAGAGAGGGGTGAGGCATGAAATAACACAGATGCTGTAAATCTGCTT